TGTAGTTTTTACTAATAGTAAATCATAATATTTTTTGTGCCGTGATAAATCATTCACACAATAATTTTCAGAATTAAATTCAAGTAAACTATCTATGTATAGTTTTGTTATTTAATACTAACTTTCGCCCGCGACTCCGTCCACGTGTAATTAAATAAAAATCAAGTAGCCTACGTCTTTTTCCAGACTATCCTCTACATCTGTGCCAAATTTCATCTAGTTCCCTTCAGTAGTTTAGGCTACAAACTCTAACATCCATCTAAACTTTTGCATTTATATCAGTAAGAAGTAAGATAATTGTATTTATAAAATTACTCCTTTCTAGAAACTTCGATTCTTGGGATTCGAATAGACGACTGCTTACTTCTCCCAGGATAATCCTCTTATCTCACTATGTCTCTCACAATTCACAAAGGAATAAAGGAAAGTATTCACGTCGTTCCTTTATACTTCATAGGATATATTTGTAATGTGACAGGAACGGTTGCATATTAAGATTACCGCTTTCTCCTTAAGACGGTGAATGGGGTACAAAGTTCGCGAAATTGCAAGTAAAAATATAAATGTTTTTATTTTATGTCATATTTACAAAGATGTACTTTTCCTTGTGTCTAATACCAATTTAGTTGAATTATAATCGTTAATTGTTAATAATCACGCAGTATTTTTTAACATGTAATCAACTAATGAATGTCATATCGTGTTTCGTATGAAATCACAAAGGACGACAGATAACATAAAGAACATTATTATATTCAACATAATAAAAGTAATATTTACTCAAACGTTCTCTCCGCTGACACTGTGACCACTATAATCCGCGACTCATAAATAAACACTCTTTATCGCAACGCTTCAAAGCATTTTTTAATGGCTTGAAGTCAGAAAGATCTCCATAAGAATGAAAATGCCGTGCAAGTTTACTTGCCCCGTTTAGAAACGTTGCGATACATTAACATAATGATATTGCGGCTGAGCAAGATCTCTGCTCAGTGGTTTAGTGTTTTCTAACAGCGTATGTTGAACTGTGTTTGTTTTAATCTAATGACACATGTTTAGAAAATTATAGTACGTTTTATTATAAACAGGATCTTGCATTTCTCTTCCAAATGTAAAAGGAACGTTGTAGAAATAGTTTAAGAGCAATACTACGCCCGTGTTTGTACTCCAAATAAAAACACTGTTAGCTTTTTCTACCACATTTTTTAAAATTAACATTTAGGTATTAAATTTGCTTGTGTCGGGTAAACATAAAATGTACTTGTAGAAAAGAATATCGCGGAAAAATTATATATACTAATATTATAAAGAGGAAAGAATTGGATTTTTGTATGTAGTGAAATAACTCAGTAACTACTGCACCGATTTCAAAAATGCTTGCACCTGTAAAAAGAGATTTTATTACTGAGTAACATGGGGTACGTTTTTACGTTTTTTTTTTTTTTTTAATTTCAAGCGGGGGTAATCGCGATGAAAAGCTAGTTCGATATGTTTTTTAAAAGTTATCAAAAAACCAATAATAAGAGTATAATATCAATTGTTTCAAAGCAAAATAATATAAAAACAGAAGTAGTTTGTATATACGCACTGTTTGATTGATACCAGAATGCAATCAAAGCACATGAGTAGATCAAAGGCAGCATTCATTCTAAATGGAATATTGGTGGCCGACAACTCCGCTATTGACAATGTTCGACGCAAATATTAAGGGCCATTGTTCTCTTGCGTAAAAAAAATATACCATTCCCCTCCTGTTACACAATGTTCAGTGGAATTTTATACGCGTTATAAAATTGGTTACATGTTGACGAACTATTGATGTGAAACAAAGTGAGATGCATTTTATTGTCTCAATTGCACTTTTAACAGTATCATAAAAATTATCGCTCATCCAATCATGATTTTTTTTTCTCTATGTTGGTATCGAAAACAATTTATAAAATTAAGAATTGAAGATTTTTTTCATTTTTCGCGCTAATGATGTTGCGGAAATAGCAATAGCAAATTTATTAATTAAATACCATATATAATTATTTTATTATTTAACCTATGTGAGTGTTTATAGCCGAATTTATATATAAATAGTTACTCTCCTTAGACGCTGCATCTGATTTTATCAAATATTCAAGTAAATAGATTGAAAGCAGCTTAGTGTTCGGTAAACCCCTTCCAATTACTTCCATGTACGCTAAGTAAATCTCGTGTTACATTACCTATGCATCGAATTATCTCCACCTTCTTGTATCATACGTTATATTCTCATATTTCTTAGTATATTAAATATAAATTTACTAAGCCGGAAGACGGAAGATAAGCATATAGAAATGAATTCAGATATGATTAACTAGCTTTCGCTTTCGACTCCGTTCGCGCAGAAATAAAAAAAACGTAAGAGTAAGTAGCCCATGTGTCCTTCTAGACCAAATTATCAAATTGTTATCGACAATATTCCATTTTAATGTGAGTCTACAACAACGCCTGTGCAATTAGAAATTTAATTCAACATCGATTGAGAAATCCACTTTAGCGGGGCTAAAACGGGCTTATTGTTAAAGCGAGCCTGCAGATAACCTTAAATCTCAGATCACTCGCTACCAGAAACGGGGCTGCATTAGCCGGGGATAACAATGCACTTTACGTACCAGATTTTCATTGTATTTTATATTTTAAATAGAAGGGGTTAATTTCAGTTGCATCAGTGTCTAATTAGTGTTAGGTAAATTCATTTTCGATGCACGTTTTGTTCATTGTTCGATTAGAAAACGAGTCATTAATGTAATAAATATAAATAAAAAAATAAATAAATGCATAATAAGGAATTAAAAACGCTTGTATCTTGGAAACTCTTGGGTATTTACCATGGATACATATTGGATACATATTGGATATGAAGATATCTTTAGCATTTCAGAGTAAGTTTTGAGGCTTTTTAAATTGTTTTGGGTTTTAGCTCCAGTTATCAATGTTTCTTAAATGATGTAAAATGTTCTCTTATTAAGAGATTGAACGTTGCATCAATTCTCATTTATCAATCGTTTGACATATTGATTTGAGTTCATCATCATTCCGATCAATAACGTTCTCATAAATTATATATAACCGGACTTAACATCGCCTAGTTTAGACTTCGAACTAAATATTCATTTAAACTGTTCGCACATCTTTGACTAGAATATCGCACAACTGTTTACTCTCGCTTTAATTCTTATGAGCTTGCTAGCTGCTCCCGTGCGACTACATCTGCATGAAATTATGAAAATTTTATTTTATTGTTTACATGTGTCAAATTATCAATTACAAATGTCAAAATGACATGACATGATGACAACCTTGCTTCCTTGATATTGGCAACAACTTATGGTCTCTTTCCCACATTAGGGTTTTTATCCAAAGTATTTACCAACTTAGTTTAATGGCGTGAAAATATGTAAAGCGTGACGCGTTTATTAAAAAAAGGATTATTCTAAAATATGCTGTAATTGCTGACATCTTAGGCAACAAAGAAGTGTGTGTTTACGCTTTATTATAATAGTATAGATATGGCGGTTCGCGCAACATTTGTGCGATAATTAAGTCAAAGATGTATAATTTAGATTATAATTTATCTTTTTTTTAGTAATTTTAAAATTTAAAACTCAAAATCACATTTAAAGGTAATGTTTTCCGAATAATGTCTAACTATGGCGTTGGGGAACGAGTTAATCAAGACTCGCACAGTTTAAAGTAAGCTTATAACAAAATTAAGGAATCACCAGCTAGTATCGTCCATTATTCCGACACAAATCCACGAAGTGACGAACATAGATTAATTGCAGCCTGGCCGTTGAAAGGATTTAGCGAACGAATTTTATTTCCAATACATTCGTATGCAGTGTGACGTAGAGCAACTTTTTTTTTATCTATCACGCCCCAGCTTAATTGCATGACCCTTGATAAGCGGAGCGTATATACACTTTGACGTTCCAAAGCTTTCAATTGTTAATTGAATTATAACGTCATTGCTATTGCATATTGCTATTTGTGTATTCGGACAACAGACCCTTGTACTAAATCTTATTCTAGTCACTCTAAAAGTATGAAGGAAGATAATATGAACATGATTTTTATATTTATACAAGCTTTCGCCCGCGACTCCGTCCGCGTGGTATTAAAAAAACAAAACCAAGTACTCTATGTGTTCTTCCATTCTGTCCTCTATAGAGGACTATATAGATATATCTATGCCAAAATTCATTGCAATCCGTTCAGCAATTTAGGCTTCAAACATCCATCCATCCATCTAAACTTTCACATTTATAATATTAGTATGATGAATAAAAGGTACCAAGGTTGACAAATGACAAAGTTACTAAGCTTTCTAATAAAATCACAGATATTCCACAAATAAACATAAAATTATTTTACACATCTCCGTGTTCAAGGAAATCATGAGACTTTCTAACTTTCCTTAACACGTAGAGGCGTGGTTTAAAGTTATAATTGGTTGCCGTGAAGCATAACGATGTAGGAGATGCGCAAATTATTGTATGAAGACCCGGTGTTTGCAGTACCGGTACTTTAGAAGTGGTGTGTAGGGAACTCTCAATGTCCTTATTAGAGCTTAAAATACAAATTGTATTATGATCTTCATATTCTGTATGCATTTAATAATATTCGGTATTCACTTAAACAAGTGATTCAGCAAACATTGTCTCGAACTAATATTAAATAACATTTACGTTTGCCGCCAGACTACATTTTTCGTTTCGTTTTCAACAAAAATTTATATAATCTGTAAGCCGATCTGCAGAAATGCCTTTTACTGATAAACGTGGAATGAATCATCAAAATTAGACCAGCGGTTAGAAGTATACTACTTTAAAAGAGATATAGAACATTTTTATATAGAAAATGTTTATTCATGTGATTGCAGCTAAGCAAATTCAATCTTCAAACACAAAGTAAAAGACCAATTTATTTGCATTTCTATGTATTAAAATGTATGTTTTCTTTGTTCACAGAGATGTGCGTTTCAACAAAATCTTCGACATTGCTCCAGGAGTGTTTAGCCATCTGCATCGCCTGCGATCGTTGTTGTTGAATGACAATCAACTTCGTGATCTACGTACTGGATCTTTCCATGGACTGCGTCGCTTGAAATATCTTTACTTGTATCGTAATCGCATCCAGCACATCGAGTCTGACGTATTCCAGGGAATGGTCCATTTGGAGCAGCTGTGAGTATTCCTAATCGTTGTTATAAAATTATGTTCCAATATCTTTTTTTTAATAATATAAGGTGATAAACGAGCAAGCGGCTACCTGAATCCACTGAAATAGAAAGCGACCGTTATCCATAAACATCCGCAATTGCAGATGCGTTGCCCACACTTAATTGACGGAGGAGGAGAGAATCTAATTATAACAAAGGCGACGAAACTTTTTCGTTTCTACCCACTAATAAAGATTGAACTACGTACTTATAACGTACATTGCTATGATATTTAAAAAAAAAAACAAAATTATTGTAACTTAATATTTTCAGGTACCTTCACGTAAATGAGATACACCTAATCGAACCTGAAACTTTTTCTAACCTACCACGACTGGAAAGATTGTAAGTAGATCTTTATAGAAATTCACTAATCTAAAATATATATTAGTTTGGAGTGACATAATATTATTATTTTAAGGTATTTGCATAACAACAACTTGAAGAGAATTCCGCCTGGTTCATTTCGTGGACTCACAAGCCTACACAAACTTCGTCTAGATAGTAATGCTCTTATCTGCGATTGTTCAATGCTATGGTTTGTACGCATGCTGGTTGAACATGGTGACATGGACATCGCTGCGACATGCTATGAACCAGCTACCGTCACCGGCACCTCTTTATCAGCCATGAAGGAAGAAGACTTTAACTGCAGTATGTACAATTTACATAAAACATCAGCTTTGACACGATACAGGCCGTATCTATACATATAATAAAATTGGAGTGTCTGTTTGTAACATAGAAAGAAAATTACAGATTTTGGGAATATAATGTATTTTTCAATTACTGATAACGAAAATGGCGTTTAAAATTTTTTTGTCTGTCTGTCTGTCTCTCCACGAGCCTCGTTTGTTCCGGGCAATCTTCGGAACGGCTTCGACCAGACTTTCACTGGAGGATAGCTGACACGAACGGGCATATTATAGGCATTTTTTATTTCCCGCTGTCAAAGTGGCGACCAGACCGCTATCTCTAGAACGGGTAGACCGATTTGGACGGGACTTTGACTGACAGATAGCTGGTAGAAGGTAGATGCACGCGGCAATGTGACAGATGACTTTTTAAATCCGCGCTAACGAAGTTGCGGGGGACAGCTCCTAATGAATAATGTAATTTCATTTATTAATTTCAGAACGACCTGAGATTATGAAAGATCCCCAGGACGCAGTCGTTAACTTTGGCGATAATGCAGTGTTTACATGCGTGGTCACTGGAGAACCACAACCAGAAATAGTTTGGCTGCGTGATTCAATCACCGTGCCATTGGACACCCATCGTTATGAAGTAATGGATAATGGGACACTGATGGTGCATGCTGCCGACGAAAATGACGTAGGAATTTTTGAGTGCACAGCAAAAAATCCTGCCGGAGCAGTAAAGTCAAAGCCAGCAAGAATGATAGTTCAAACGAAAGCCGATGAGAATGGTTTGTTATTATTTCTTAGTATCTAGCAGTACCTTGTAGGGTGTGTGTATTACAGTAGTTACAATTTTATTTAATATTTGCAGGTCGCCCAGTTTTCACAATTTTACCTCGAGACAAAATTGCCAGACTTGATGATAACGTAAAGTTCGATTGCGTAGCTAGTGGTAGCCCTACACCTCACATAGCTTGGTTCTTCAATAAAGAAAGGATTTTACTGTCGGATCGAATTACGATGAGACACAATGGGTCTATGGTTATTGAAAAAATACAACATACTGACACTGGACTTTACTCTTGTGAAGCTCAAAATTTTAACGGGCATATATCAGCACAAGCTAAATTGGAAGTTATGGGTAAGAAGTGCAATGTTTGACATTCATTATTTTAAATGTGTCCTCTACACACATAGATATAAATATTTCTTTTTTTTATAGTTGCACCAGCGTTTGTTGTTGTACCTAAAGATGAAGTTATAACAATCGGGGAAACAGCAGAATTCAGATGTACGGCTCGAGGTGTTCCCAAACCGGTCATTACTTGGTTCAGAAATACAATGTCTCTCGCTGAAAATGAAAATGTTATTATCTCAGACGACAATCAAAACTTAACGATTATTCAAGTGTCAAATGATGACGATGGATTATATCATTGCAGAGCTGAAAATTCTGAAGGGCTTACGGAGATTTCAGCAATTCTTAAAGTAGAAAAAGAGCAGATTATAGCACCTAAAATTGTACTTAGACCGGAAGACACAGATGCATTTAAACAAACTTCAGTGCAAATGCCTTGTGAAGTTGAGAGCGAACCGCCAGCGATAATTGAATGGAGGAAGGATGGGACACATATAGAACCAAATGAGAGAATATCCATATCCATAATAGGTAGTTTGATAATTAATAACGTTACAACTACCGATTCTGGCCGTTACGAATGTTCAGCCTTTAACGAATATGGTCGAGACACATTCTCCGCATTTTTAACTGTTAAAGATCACGTTTTACCGGGTGATGAATATGTAAATATAGCTCTGACAGAAGCGACACGTGATATTGATCAAGCCATTGCTAAAACGATGGAACAACTATTGCAATCTAATAAAACCAATGCCAGTATTAGTGATCTGTACAGAGTAACCAGATTTCCAAATGCACCAGCTAGAGCTGTTGCGCGACCTGCCGAGATATATGAACGAGCATTAGACAAAGTTAAAGAATTTATTCAATCAGGTCTAAAGGTGACTTCTGCAGAACCATTTAACTATGAACAACTTTTGTCGGGAGAACATTTAGAGTTAATTGCAAAACTTTCTGGTTGCGTAGCCCACAGAGAAGAAAACCCATGTCTGGATATGTGCTTTCACATGAAATATCGTAGTATCGACGGCAGCTGCAATAACTTAGCTCATCCTACTTGGGGGTCATCGCTTACGGCGTTTAGAAGAATTCTTTACCCTGTATATGAAAACGGTTTCAGTCAACCAGTTGGTTGGAATAAACATATAAAATACAATGGCTACACATTGCCCAGTTCACGGCTTGTGTCGACTTATATTATAACTACGAAAAAAATTACCGAGGATATCAAGATCACACACATGGTAATGCAGTGGGGTCAATGGTTGGATCATGATTTAGACCATTCCCTACCATCTGTGAGTTCTCAAACCTGGGATGGCGTTGATTGTAAAAAGACATGTGATTATGCGGCTCCGTGCTTCCCAATTGACGTACCAGAAGGTGATCCGCGAATAACCAATCGTCGATGCATTGATTTTATAAGAACAAGTTCAGTTTGTGGGTCCGGAATGACATCTGTACTTTTCGGAAAACTGCAACCTCGGGAGCAAATAAATCAACTTACTTCATACATAGACGCATCACAAGTCTATGGTTTTGAAAAAGCAGTAGCTGAGGATCTACGAGATTTATCCAACGACAGTGGATTATTGCGTGTAGGGGCTACTTTCCCAGGAAAAAAGCCCTTATTGCCTACAATTGGATTAAATAGTATGGACTGTAAGCGTAACCTGGAAGAAAGTAATCGCAACTGCTTTGTCGCAGGCGATGTCAGAGCCAACGAACAATTAGGTCTTGCCGCTATGCATACTATTTGGATGCGCGAACATAACAGAATTGCTACCCAATTAAAAGCTGTAAACCCCTTCTGGGATGGTGACAAGCTTTACCAAGAAGCCCGTAAAGTGCTCGGTGCCGAAATACAACACATTACTTATCAACACTGGTTGCCGTTGATACTTGGTCCGGAAGGATATAAACAAATTGGCGAATATAAAGGATATGATGCAAAAATTAATCCATCGGTTTCAAACGTTTTTGCTACCGCAGCTCTAAGGTTCGGTCATTCGTTGATTAATCCGATTCTACATCGCTACGACGAAAACTTTGAACCGATTCCCCAAGGCCACTTACTGTTACGTAATGCTTTCTTTTCGCCTTGGAGACTTGTAGATGAAGGTGGAGTAGACCCGTTGCTGAGGGGCATGTTTACAACTCCGGCAAAGTTGAAAACTCCTACCCAAAATTTGAATTCTGAGTTAACGGAACAACTGTTTCACACTGCACATGCCGTGGCTCTAGACCTTGCAGCGATAAACATACACAGGGGTCGCGATCACGCTTTGCCACCATATACTAAATGGCGTCAATTTTGTAATATGACTGAAGTGAACGATTTCGACGATTTGGCTGGTGAAATATCAAGTAAAAATGTTAGAGATAAGTTGAAAGAACTTTATGGTTCAGTTTACAACATTGATCCATGGGTAGGTGGGATATTGGAAGACCAAGTAGAAGGAGGAAAAATTGGGCCATTGTTCACATGTATTTTGATAGAACAATTCCAACGTCTAAGGGATGGTGACAGGTTTTGGTACGAAAATCCTACCACATTTAAGAAAGAACAATTAAAACAAATCAAACAAACTAGTCTGGCGAGAGTACTATGCGATAACGGCGACAACATTGACACGATTGGTGAAAATGTTTTCCTGCTTCCAGAAGTTCAGGACGGGCTTATTTCCTGTGACGATTTGCCGTCTGTAGATCTTCGTTACTGGGCTGATTGCGAAAGCTGCGGTGACGATGAAGTAAAGAAAAGCCGATTTCGCAGGGATGTGCCATCGGAACCAAATATTTACGTCCAACTAGACGATTACGAAAAACGTGTCGAGGACCTAGAAGATCAACAAAGGAAAATGAGAAAAATCTTTAACGAATTAAAAAACCGAGTCTTGTATTTAGAGGAAACATGTAACGCAAACTAACTTTAAAAAATAAATACATGAAGTCTATATACTCTGAATAAACTAAACAACAATTACAATTACGATACAATGTTTATTCAAAATAACTCGGCAACGCTTAAGGATTTTTCGATGTAATTCATTAGATTTTACCCATGTATAATCTTTTTAGTAGTACGTAAGTTATTTTCTATGCGGTCCAATTATACAAGAATTTATTTTTACTCTTTTACATCCTCTTTCATATATTCTAATTTCTCCTCGACTGCTTCTTTCAGGGTGTCTATGCTATATCGATGTAATATTTTAATCTAGTATAAAATTATCTTAATTTGTAAAATAATCATTAAAACAAAGATTTCTAGTCTTAAAGATATATAATCATTAGAATTATTATTAGATCATTTATAGAAATAAGATAGGTAACCCTTCAATATCATATCTCAATGTGCTTACTCATAATCTTACTACTCTAGAAATAATGACTGTCGTGGTAGTGTTTACGTTTTATATTATAGTTTGTGCTATTGTAGCTTTTATTTCTAATGCCGTTGTTGACTGCTGTATTGCAGTATTATGATGTTATTTTGCAATGAATTAATTTTGAAATTACGTAACTAGTGTATAATTTTGGTCTAAAATTATATTAAAAATTGTATTGATGAAAAACGCGATCAGGTTCCGTCCTAAACTGTATATTGGAGACATTCCTAATTGGATACGGCGAAATGCCAAAGGAAACTCCTAGTAATTGGTATTCTAAGTAGCATCTTCATAATTGTATATTCCATAAATTGCTATTAATATCAGTTCACAATCATCATGTAATCATTCATCAGGTTAAATGGTAAAAAAAATAAAAAAAAAAACAAAAAAAAGTAGTTTATAGCATTGACTTAGTATTGATTAACATGATTATTTACAAAACAACGTATAATTAAATAACCTGACCGCTTTTTGTTTCGATTTCAAACAACTGATATTAAATTCTTTAAACCACAATAAAACAAATAAAAAACCACAAAACCAGTGAAATAGATCAATTAAATTTTCAAAAAACATACCGGAAATGATGATTTTTTATCGAAATATAATCGATTCTTGGTTTCCGTCATTCCCAGTACTGTCGCGAAACTCAAAAAACGTAAACAAAACAACGAAACAGCGGACGTAGGAAGTGGAAGATATACAGTATCACTATATACAGTTTTAAATATATTGCGTTAACAATAACATTAGTGGCATGTGATTTACAATTCCATTACTATTGATTCGATTTCATAAATATGTATTCATTGCATTCAACTTCTAACTTTTAATCATTAGTCTTAGATAGTGATCGCGGGTTTCCACTGCGGACACCCGTACAAAATTCATTATGTTTTTGTAAATGTTTCGGTAGTGGAAACTTTAGTTAGACAGCTCGGCAGTGTTTACGTTTAAGATCGATTGAATCTGTAATTGAAGATATCAATATGTTTATTGCTCTTGCAAATTCTTTTAGTAAAGATATGGGAATGGGTAGATTTGAAACGGACTCATAGGAAGAAGAAATATTTCAAACCTCTTGGCAACTTTTATCGATAGTAAAAATTACATCATGAAAAGTAAATATTGGATAATTATTAACTTATTTAAAATCTACATATCTGATCTTTGCATCACGCGCCCGAGCTGTCTATCGTCATTTTAATATCATGTTAATAATCTAATTATAGTCATAGCTTCATTAGAAATATGTATACATAGGAATAATAGATATAAATGCTCCATTTGTCACAATATACGTCTGATTTTAACAAATCAAAACATGAACACGAGAACTAGTTAAAGTATCAAAAATGTAAATCCAACTACACACTAATTCAAATGTATCAAACAATAACAAAATACGAACATTAAAAGGTCGGAAATAAATTGTAATAACATGCATTAACCACTAATCAACATAATACGATTCACCACAAAACTGTTAAAATCATCCTGTTAATTGTGACTGGAGTAAATTTCATTATGCATGTTAGAAAATATTAAATATTCATGTATTAACAGATATAGGTCTAACGTGGTAGAAACGCAGCATTGGTTTAGTTCAATGCATTTATACCTTTGGGTCGCGATGTCGTCTGTGAAAGTCGTTAAGAATATCGGCGATTCATTCCATTCACTACAATCATAACCAACTGGATTGAACATTTTACATGCTAGTGGTTCGCGACGTGATAGTCTAAGGCAGTGATTCTCAACCTTTTTTTTATTGCGGCACATATATAACGATTTCAAAATTTGGCGGCGCACAAAGTAAAATAAAAATTATTTACTTACTACAACACACATGCAAGAATAGTTTATGAAAAAAAAATTAAATATACGAAATAAACTAATATGTACTACAATAATAACTTAACGTTTATGAAGTGATTAATTACAAGCTAAGAATAAAAATTTGGCGGTACACTTTCGAAATTTGGCGGCACACTTTTGAAATTTGGCCGCACACTTTTGAAATTTGGCGGCACACTTTTGAAATTTGACAGCACACAAAAGTGCTGCGGCACAGTGGTTGATAATCACTTGTCTAAGGTTATGTCTAAACAAAATAAATTAAATTAAACCAATGTTGACGAACACTATAAACAATAATATGGCGTTAAAAATCTACACCCCACGGCTTAATTCTATTACTTAACTTACTTATTCGCGATTAAAGCTACTAACGATACCTTTTAAGACTATAGTAACTTAATGTTCACCTTATGGAATAAGTATAGCAAATAAACATGTTTAGAACATTTCTTATCTAAATGTTAAAGTAAATCTAATTTTTAATTATTTACACTGTTTACATGATTTCAAATATTTTTACTTACATTTGGACATTATTCGATTGTTTCTTATAATTTACGAATTGTACGTTAAATTTGATTTACTTTGGAGATTTTTTTTAACAATTAACAAAATTAAATTTAGGTGGTAAAAAGATTTATGTTCTAACATTTTTTGATCCTTACTTTTTCTATACAGATATCTGTGAATGCGAGGCGATGTTATGATTAAATGTGTTCTACCACTCACAGTCGTAATTGTTCACTGCACTCAGACATAAGTGGTGATCGGGAGTATATATTTCTTATACTAAATCGACTCTGGGTACGGTAGTTATCTACATTACTCTTATGTATACACTAAATTACTGTTCTGTAGTTTAAGGTTTATTAATGGATGTCGTGATTTAATTATGTATTGATAGTAATGTAACTAAAATTAATCGAAATTAATTAAAATTTACGTTGGTTGGTGCTAAAAAAGGAATGCAACACAGGGATTGTTGGATCGGAATATGAGGGTGATGGCTTTTTTTTTAATTATTATTTTGTACGCCGTGAATATTTCCTGTATTATATCAACAATGTGAGTCTTAAATCTAATTAAACATCAATAAATTATAATCAAGAACTCACATTACTATGGAAAAAATATTCACGGACGACGTTTTTTTTTCTTGTGATTGGCAATGATTGTATTATTAATTAAGTAGGTGTTTAAAACAATTAATCTCGATGTATTTCTGTAACCTGCAAACTAAATCCCTTTTAGAATCGTCATTAAATAATCGCATAGTTGACATTTTATCTCTACTATTGTAAGAAGTTATTTGACATCGTTTAACCGAATACGAAAGGTCTTTACGTTACAAATAAACGCGATATAAATTTAAACCCAGGAATAAACTGAGTATAAACAAAATTTGTATTAATATTTGCTTATACTTAGTTTATTCCTAAGTTTAACTTTATACCACGTTTATTTGTAAGGTTATTTATGGATTACTAAACGATCATTATATAACTTTGTGAACTATATAATAGGAAATGTCAATTGCCACATTTCACCACAAAATTCCATAATTGAGAGATCTTATTCACTTTTAATTATATTTGTGTACAGCCCCCTTAGACAAAGTGATTTTCGATTAGCTATATCGTTAGTAGAGTCGATAAAATGTTTCAAAACGCATAGGAATGAATACGTGACAAGCAATTGACTTATCGATAAGCGACAACGATAATCGAATGTTACTTCGTCTGAGGGGGAAGGACCGGTGTTGGCGGCGAAAATCCATTGTATTAAGATAGATGACAATTTTTAATAAGTATTCAAATAGATTCTAATCCAGGCAATAACATCTAAAAACGTTCACATCGCGAGGGAATTAAAAAAACCATATAAAAATACTCGGATTAGATTCTAGAGTGAATTATTGTCTATCTGTCAAACATTTTTTAGGTAACGATGTCTTATAACATTTAATTATAATCGGTGTCCAATGTGTAATCAAAAATAAATGAAAAATGTAAATGTTGTTTTATTTCATACTAGCTTTAGAACGACTCCATCCGCGTGGAATTAAAAAAAAAAACAATTTTCAATAGCCAATGTGCTCTTCCAGACTATCTTCTACATCTATGCCAAATTTCATTGTGATCCGTAAATAAAAAGTAAAATGTATCAGATAAAAAATGTAATATTGCAAATGGATTATGTAAACAATATTAAAGGCTCTGGCTTCCATGCTAGGGGAATTGTATTAAGAACAACAAAAAAAGGAGCCGTATCTAGCACGGTGATAGGCTCTGCTATCGGTTGTTTCTGACAGAAAATATGTAAAACATACATGGACATAAGACATGGCATAAACTGAATCTGCTTGCGATTGGCATTTTCTGTGATGCTGTCATGATTTAGTTCCACTTGTAGCCAACGGGGACGACTACTTGTGAGTCATCTCTATACTAATTACTTTAAAAAATATGAGAAACTAAATCTATTTAAAGTATTCTAAATAATGTGTTAGTATTGTCTACTTTGTAAGTAACATTAATATGGATACCTTTGGAAGTCAAGTAAAAAAATATAGTTTAGTTCTTTTAAAAATGAAATATTGAGATGCTACAACGCCCTCTATTCAGAGGCCACGAAACTAAATCAGAGTAAATGGTTCTCTCGACTGTTTAGTTCTTTGAAAAAGGAAAGATTAAAATAAATGTTTGGGATACAACGCCCTCTATTCAGAATCCATGGTACTAAATCAGTATAAATAGTTCCCTCGACGTCACTGCCATCTGTAATATGTTACTGACATTAAGTTCTGCCTGTATTGTAAGTTAGCATCCTCTAATAAATCTTACTAATGTTATTAATGCGCTAGTTTATATGGATGGATGGCCCTAATCCGGTAATAATAATGAAGTAACGGCCTGAGCCGAGGCTCCCGAGTGAACCCGTAAGCTTAGTTACTCATAAACGAGGTTTAGGCTAAGCGCCATCTGCGCTCGGCCACCTCAACCCGGTGAATCTGTAAAGGCCTCTTCAAGGCAAACAGTGGCAGTTCAGTCACAAAAAATGATGGATGGATGGATGCTTGTTAGAATTTGTAGTCTAAACTGCTGAACGGATCTCAATAACATTTGGCATAGATGTAGGGCAGGGATGGCGAACCTTTGTTCATCAAAATGCCATTTTTTAAAGAAATGTTTAATGCAATCTTAGACGTGCCATCAAATAATTTCCACTGATTATTACGTTAATTCCGTGGTGCATGATAATGACATCGCGTACGCTTTTTATATAATACCTACTTTATACTTTTTCGTAGTTTTTAGTATCATCGAGGTTCCAAATTAGTCGTGTGCTATTTTGTGTGCCAGTGTTTCGCCACCCCTGATGTATGGCATAGTCTGGAGCAACACAGGCTACTTTTAATCACAGTTCATGTTTACACGATAACTCTGTATTCAAAATATCTTAACACATGGTATACTATTCATCAAATACTTACACTAATAGGCAGGCTACATACTTTTTCAATTTCACGCCGCGGAGTCGCCGGCAAAAGTTAGTTATCCATAATGGAATGATAATTTACAATATTTAAAAACATCTTTAAATTGAGCCCTTTAGAAGCTCACATATTCATATTATCGGCCAAGAAACCCATGGTCTTCTGATGTTCAACAGCAATTTAATTTGTGATCAAAATAGTATAAATCAAAATAAATAAATATACTTAACTGTAGTTCCATATGGAACAATAAAAAGTAGACATTAGCCTCCCCATTTTCTAGATTCTGTAACAAGTACTTTTAAGAACAGCAATGCTGTTACAGTTCCTTGGTGTTGCGGATGTCCATAGACGTTGGATCAAATAACATTAGGCGATCCGCTGCTCATTTACCCCCTTTTCTATATTAAAAAAGTAAAACAGTCATGATTCCAATTTCTCCATTTAAGACATCAAGATTTCTTTTTTCTAAATTTGTATCTGGAGTAGGATAGAGTAATAATAAAATCCAGGTGTTTTTATATTTTTTATTTTCCCAACTACGCATTAAAATACAAAAACAACAATAGTAGAAATAATGAATAAACAATTGTAACTAAAAGATAGAGTATATAGAGACATAACTTCAACAATAAACTAATTATATAATTCAAAATTATTCAACTTGCAATTATTAAAATATACAAAGGACAATTCAAAACTGTCAAAAACACCGATTTACTGAGAATTCAACACTACTTAGTAATTTCAAATAAATTAAATGTGTAATTACTACATGTTTTCTACGAACTTTAAACCATCGTTTTACTCATGAGACGATTTATCTTGTTTGGTGCGGCGCTGCAAGGCTAACCAGCTCTCCAGACGATTGGCGCGAGCCACGCGTTTGGCAATCGAAGTCGACGGCGTTAATGCCGTCCGCTTGAATTTCATGTGGTCAAGGTCACTCCACACTTGCACGTGATCCTCCGGACACTCAACCGGCCAAGTTATTCCTTCAGCGCAGCATGAAAAAAAAAGAAAAATCGTTTAATTACAGAAAACACAAACAAATACCATTTGATCACACGTGTTAGGATATCATTACTTATCTAAAAATGAAGATAGAAGTAAAGAAAAACACGTAAAGCGCAATCAAAACATGCTATACTTACAAATATGTATTGCAGAGTTGAGCACAATCGCCGAGCGAAAGTAGAATGAGGAGAATTTTACAATAACCAGACATACTAACCGATGTCCCTCGATGACTGAAGGATATACACGTCATCAAGGGACATCGGTTCATACGGCTGCTGTATGGATCTTCCGTCTTGACATTGAAGACATTGACTCTCAGGAATTTCAATGATGATTTCCGCTGATGAACGATGTGGAGTTGACACAACAAACAAACAAACCGATTTCTTTGAGGTCACCATGGAAATCGGTTCATACGACTGCTGTATGGATGTTCAGTCTTGGTATTGAAGATTTCGACTCTCAAGAATCTTCAATGATGATGATCGATGTAGAGTTGACATAAAAAACAAACAAACCGATTACTTTGAGGTCATCAAGGAAATCGATTCATACGACTGCTGTATGGATGTTCAGTCTTGATATTCGAGATTTAGACTCTCAGGAATATTCAATGATGTTTTCTGCCGATGAACGAAGTGGAGATAACACAACAAACATACTAACCGATCTCCTTGCTGATCTCAAAGAAACGAGACCATCAAGGAGATCGGTTTATACGGCTGCTGTATAGATCTTCAGTCTTGGTATTGAAGATTTCGACTCTCAGGAGTCTTCAATGATGTTTTCTGCCGATTAACGAATTGGAGATAACACAACAAACATACTAACCGATCTCCTTGCTGATCTCAAAGAAACGAGACCATCAAGGAGATCGGTTTATACGGCTGCTGTATAGATTTTCAGTCTTGTTATTGAAGATTTCGACTCTCAGGAATCTTCAATGATGATTTCCGCT